GGGTCTTTATTTATTTAGAAATAAAGATAAAGATAGATATATAAGTTTCGCTTAAAGCCAAAATAATGTTGGTGCAACCAGACCTAAGTCCTGTATTAATATTACTGAATTAGTCTCTAAAATGAATAAAATATATAACTCATATTTAACTTATATTTTCCATAAAATATTTTGATACTGTGTATAGATATACCATATAGATATACCATATAGATATACCATATGTAGCATATAAATGAGAATTTCCAAGTTGATTCACGATTACAAAATATCAAATCAGAATCAAATCAGAAATAAGTATTACAAATATAAATACAAATATCAAATTAGAAATATAAATATCAAATATATCATAATTTACTTGAAAAATTCGGATTCAACTCTGAAAAAATCTGAATGTTCATATGAGATAAGTTTTAAATGACAACTATTTACACGGGCCTTAAACCCGGTCTACAATAAGTGTAGTAAGCCTTCAATCTTTTGCCCTAAGGCCAAAACTAACGTAATTTATGGCAAAAAGCGTTTTCCACACCACCAGATGTCACAATCCCTAATTTCAAGCGTTATTACGGCTCCTGACAGCGCGGGAAACTCCCTTTACTAGAAATTACGTTACAATTTTGGCCTCAGAACAAAAGGCTTAAGGTTAAAGTACCAATTCCTACACACGTACCTAATCCTGGATTATTCTTATTGTCTTAATGAATATAATTATTTAAACTATTAATACTACGATTTTTCAGTATACTAGTACAGAATATTTGTATATATTCAATACATGTATGTATTTTATGTCGGTATTTTAAATATTTATAAATTTAAATATTCGTTATTTTAAATATTCGTATTTAAAGGCTAAAATAATAAAAATGTTCAAGATTAACCATACATCTGGGCTAGAAATAAAAATAATCCATTTTGACGGTAATTTATTTGGTAAATTACGTTAAATTAATTTTGGCAATTTTGGAAAACTAATATAATGGTAATTTGAAAAATAAATTATAAAAATAAAATGATTTTTATATAAAACTCAAAAGAAGCATTTTATCTTTAAAATAAGTAAAATATGGAATTTAACGTATATTTTCTATAAAATATTTTGATATTGTATATAGATATACTATATATAGCATACAGTAATTAAATAAGAAAATTAGAGATACACACAGTAATCAGAAAAACTTTAAAAAAAGTTCTTTATTAGAATTTTTAAGAAAGTATGTATGTATAACTGGTGTAGTATAGTTTTAATATATATTTATCATATCATCATGCCTTACAGGCTTATAGCATTTTCATTTATTACCTTGTTTCACGACTAGACTGTGATATACTATTAAAAATTTTTATTTAAGAAATGGAAACACACAATTTGTAATATACTCTCGAAAGATTATAAATAATTTCATTTCTTCTATCTGAGAGATATTTCACAGATTATCAGATATACATTTGACGATAATATAAGAATGTTGGCTTATTTTATGCATTAGTGCGGAAAACACGAACACAACGTATTTATATATGGAACTGTCAAAAGCAACGAATTTTACCAAGATTACTAATAAATTACTATCTTACCGTAATTTTACCGTAAGTGATCAACATTTTGGATCACAGTAAATGTCATATTTCTAGTCCGGACATTGGCACTTTTATCTTACTACACGCATTATGGGCCAGGACCTACACATCTCAAAAACGCTGTTATATATTTACCTGCCCGAACGTGTGTCATCCGCGACGATAAACGAGTCTGCGACGCGACGCGACGCAACGCTCACGGAGCTCGTCGCGGGACGCTAGGAATCCGAAAGCCGCGGAATCCTTCTGCGCGCGAGTCAACGCACCACCTCCCTCTGCCGCGCTAACCCCGCGTCCATAGCTATCTCACGCGTTCGTTCGTTCATTCTACCTTGCTCCTCTATAACGACGACGGCCGCGCGATCGAAATTTTTTTCGAGCATCGCGCGAAACAGATTATTCGACGACGCGGACGATGGGATGCATAGAGCAGTGTAACGCGGATATCAGCGGCGACATCAAAGTCGTGACCGGCGGGAACGACGTCTCTTGCAGGAGATAATAAATCGACCAAAAATCCACACGACGTCGCGAGAAACAGAGAAAGAAAGAGAGTCTCGGCTGAAGGAGGAAAGGAAACGACGCTCGGAAGGTCGAGCGCGAAGGACGCGGCCGTTGCCGCCGCGGGCGGGTAGGCACGAATTTCAAACGACGTTCGATTCTGCGTATTCGCGGGTACAAGCGCGACGGTGACGGCGCCATCGCGGAAACCGCACGGCGACGGCGACGACGACGACGCGCTCGTTCCAAATGTGTCACTTCTCGCTCGCGTAACGGCCGGAGAGGCGGCTTGTACACTCACCGTTCAGCCGAGCACCCTGCGTCTTCATCGGGCCTGACGGTAATCCATGTGCTGGATGCAACAGACGTGTGAGAAACGGCGATATAACCGCGGTGTGAACACTGCGCGAAGAACACTCACCCGCGCGCGCACCCGCTGCACACGCGCGACCCGAACGTGACTCGTAACGGCGCGCGCGAACCGTATCGCGACGGCTCGCTGGCTGGCTTTTCGAACGGAGAAGACACGCGAGCAGGAGTCACGACGGTGTATACGATACGCGGACTGTACGAGAGACGCGCGGCGCACCACCATTCAACCGCTTCAGCGCTTTCGCGCGACCGCCCGCGACTTCGCTCCGTTACGAACTCAGACTCGCTTCGGCCGCGACTCAGCCCCAGCGCCGCGCTCGTGCATCTCCGTAACTGCCCAGCGTCCCCACCACCGCTCCACTCCGCCACGCTTCTCCCTCCCTCCAGCGACAACCGCTCGGCGGCGCTCGGCAGCTCTCGGCCAAGATCGCCGAGCGCGGAGAACGAGCAGGTTGCACCGTAGATTGTAAGATTACGCTACGTGGATTGTTTACGTGTCACCTATGGTGTGTATATTCACACACAGAGTTCTTCTCTTGTGTAGGCAAAATATGTCTGTTTTCGAGGAACTTGTGCACTCTAGTGCAATAAGTTAGAGTGAAATAAGTACACTTTCTTTCACTCTAACTTATTGTAATAGCGTGCACCAGTTCAAAAGTTCTTCGGGCAGCCTAACGTAACTACGAAAAATATTGTAAATCTGACGTTTACGCGTAAATTGTGAATAACCCATGTCTATATGTAGATAAAAACGTAAATTAGGCATAAGATGTCGTCTACCTAGATAATGAATAATCTATGAATATTGTTTGAAGAACGTATAGTTTGCTTCAAAATTCACTAAGGAAAGTTTATATATTTATTTCACCTTTAGAGAATATTGTGATGTAAATTGATAAACATTATTTACTAAACTAGTTAGGATTTTCAAAATTCTTTGATTACATTGTTATCTTCAAAGTTAAATCTACCAATCTGTCACATAATGTAAAGAAATTTCTTTACGAATTGTTTTTTTAACATTACATTTAGAATTATATTACATATGACTGTCTCATAATTTTTGTGTATTTTAACGTAATTTACATTACATTGTCTAAAAAAGATCATGTGTACATCACAAAAGATACGTAGTCTATATAAATATAACTTTAAAATCTATAGTACAACCTTTATATTATTTATTTTATAAATTTTATATATTTTGTACTTTATATATTTTTATATATCACATATTTGCTTTATATATATTTACTTTCATATTATTTCTATATACTTATGATTATACAGATATATTACAAAATATACAGGAAAGTATATTACAAAATATACAAGAAATTATATATAAATGAGATAGTTGCAGTACCTTTTTGAATAATTTATAATTTTACTAATTTATAATTTTTTTAATATTATTTGTAAATATAATGTTTAAGGCTCCTGGGGAGTCGCATCATCCATCTCTTTTTAATGACGTCAGAAGCGAGAAAACGCATGCTAAAAATTCCTGCAAAATACGTCGAGATAAACAGATATATCCACAAAACGACATTTGCGATCGATTAAGTACATCTCTAAAATACTCCGTACACTTTCCTTTTGTTCTAAAAATCAATAGATAATCGGAAAATTAATATGACAAGATAATGAGGAAATTAGGTTAGAAAAGACGATTGCACGTCACATTTATTTTATAATTATCTGTTGATTGTTAGAACAAAAGGAAAGTGTACGGAGTATTTTAGAGATGTACTTAATCGATCGCAAATGTCGTTTCGTGGATATATCTGTTTATCTCGACGTATTTTGCAGGAATTTTTAGCATGCATTTTCTCGCTTCTGACGTCATTAAAAAGAGATGGATGATGCGACTCCCCAGGAGCCTTAAAGAAGATAAATTGCATATATGTGAAATCTTCATTTTGACAAATTAGATTTAACTCTGAAGATAAGAATGTCACTAGAAAATTCTATGAAGTCTAACTTTTTTAGGAAACAACATTGATAAATACATGAAAATTCTAACGATTATAAATAAAAATATAAACTTCTCTTAATTTTTTAATAAAACATACATTTTTTAAACAGTTTGCACATTTTCTATATGGATGACATACATAATTTACATTGTCTACATGTAAACATAAAATATTATAATTTACACATAAACACCAGATTCTGAGAAACATTGAGTCAATAAAAAATATCTGGCTGTGATTCTTTAAATATTACATACTAGAATTTTAGATTTTATACACAATTTTTGCTATAAGGATGAGCTCTGATTCTTTTTGTCACATAGAAAAATCAAATTTTATTTATTTATAATATTACTAGTGTATGATATTCTAATAATTTGATTTCATTGTTAAACTGGAAAAGATAAAATATTTAATAATTCGAATAAATCAAGTTAAAAATTCCTAATTAAAAAAAGTCACCATCCACATTTTAGATTACACTAGTAGCAACTAAGAAAAATTAGAAATATCATTAGTTCATCAAATAGAAATGTCGAAGAATTCGATACAATAAAGTCTATGCAAAATGTAAATTTTTTATTATCTTATTTCTACAATAGTAGAATCTATCATATATCGTGTTTTGTTCTTATTTTCCATATATCCCGTTTTCTGTCTGCGTATCCTTCCTTAATTCGTAAATCTGTAAAAAAAATATTAGCAGAAATTAAATTAAAAGGAAAACAAATATCTCAATATTTTTAATTCACCTGTATATATGCTTCAGTAAGAGTAATCATTTGAGGCAAAATTTGTGTGACATGTAAGTCTTGCAGTTCATACCACTGACCAGTGGCTCTATGCAAGATATGAACTCTGTATGTTCCTTGACCTGGTTCACCATCGTGCACTATATTAGCTACTAGATCATATGTTGTATATGGGTGTTTGGCCTTTACATCTGGCGTTAAAATATCTCCAAAATCAACATTTCTGTAAAAAAATTCAAAATATAGTATTGTTAACTATAGTATTATAACTATAGTATTGCTAACACTTTGGATATTTAATAAGTGGCACGTGATATACTCACTTAACAGGGAAATTCACGATTGTTGGATTCTTCTCAACAAAGAATGTATTTTTCGTGAATCTCTGAAAGCAAAAAATAAAATTGTCAAATAAAAGATGTGTATTAGTTCCTAGGTATTCATATATACACAGTAAAAATGTAATGCAAAATTTACTTTTATGTAAAGTATAAGATAAGGCGGCAGCTCGGTAATTTCGAATCTCTTCATGAAATTCTCCTTGTAGGTTTTATACTCCTTCTCAGTGACGGCATTAAATTTGTTCAGAAGCGTATACAAATTTACCTGCGCAAATAAAATATACGAATTTATCCTTATTTTTCTACATCTCTATTTACCCAATTAATTATTCGATAAGATACCAACCTGCGGAATAATATTCTCCGTGAATTGATCTTTAAATAACGGAGGCGGCGGAAGATCGCACGTAAGATATAAGAAAGGACTTTCCGTGACGGTTTCACCGTACTCGACGGTGTGCAGTAGTTCGCTTCTTTGGCTCTCTTCTAACTCCAACGGTGGTATTTTTCGCGTGTATATTCGCATATGTCCCAGAAATGTTTTATAAATTATACTAGAATCACGTTTTTTCGTGCCGTTTAACGCCAAGTGGAGAGCATTTAAAAACCATGAGAGAAAATCCACGGGATCACCTAAACAATACTTTATTAGCCACATTATTACTCTTATTAAGTCGCTGTGGCTATCTTAATTTATGATGTCAGGAAATCGAAAAAACCCATGTTAAAAATTCCTGTAAAATACATAGAAATTAAATTATATCTTTACAGAATAACACTTGTGCAATTGATTAAGCAAACCCGTAAAATATCCCCTTTTTACTCTAATAATCAATAAATAATCATAAAAATAACATGACAAAATCATAAAAAGAAATAAGTTAGAGAAGAGGATTGCATGTCATATTAATATATAGTTATTTATTGATTGTTTAGACAAAAGTATTGAGACTACTTTATAATTCTGCTTGATCAATTGCAAGTGTCATTTTATGGGTGAATCCTTTTAAATACTTTACATACTTTGCAAGAATTCTTATTGTATATTATCTCACTTCTGACATCAATCAAAAATTCTGCGACAAAGAGTCAGCAACCTTAAACTAAGAAAAATACATATATTAATGAAGTCCATGCTTACCTTGCTCAGTGAACTGAAACCTTTTCTTACTCCACAACACCACAGCCTGCAACATTTCGTGAGGGCTTACATGTGCCTTGAAGTTACGTGGATTCCATAATTTCCGCATAAGTTCTCCAAATCTTTGTACCAAAAGATAAGATGAATCACCAGGTGGTCTCCTTACATGAGAATAATTAGATTCTCTTAAGAAAAAATCCCTCAAAGGTGTAACATGTGAAAGTGCCTGTAAGTTACAAAAATTGTAATATACACAATGTATTGCCATTAACAGAACTCAATTACGATAAATTACCTGTAAAATGACATTACAGTAATCGTTGGCTTTTATGTTATTCATCCCTACTATTCCTGGTGAATACATAGAGCCATCAATTGCCCTCGACTGTTTGTCACTCTTATCCAGCTGTGCTATTTGTGTTTTATCAAAAGTTGGGTTCAATACATATTTAATGTCATCCAATGATGAATCTAATAAACAGATACATTTAGATGATATTGTCATGTTTTTATCCATGTCATCATCATATTATCATTATGTCACCCGTATTATATAATAATAATACTAATAATAAGTAGTATAAAGTTATAATAAGTAATAATGATAAATAGTATAAAGTATATAATGAGTGTAATAAGTAGTATAAAATATTTTCATATATATCATCATCATATTATATCACATATATGATAATTTATATCATATTATATCATATATTTATATCATATATATATATATATATATATATATATTTATATATCATATTTATATCATATTATCATATCTATTCAATCATATCTATCTAATATCATGTATTAATCATGAGAAAAAACATGCAAAAATATATATGTTTACTCTCTTACCCACTATCTCGTAATTATCTGGTAGACAATAAAATTTGAGTGTGTGCAAATTAAGAAAAACATGATGAGTCTCTGCTACACTATGGGTGTATGCATGAGTGTTACTTCCTCTACCTTGGAAATATTTGCCGCAAACTAAACAAGCATATACATTGATTCTGGACAACGACACAGAACATAATTTTTCAAAGTCAAAATCTAAAAACTGCCGATTAATCGTGTCCAAGTATGGACATAATCGTGGTGCCTCTGATTTCGTTCTTGCGTGTTTTTCATTCTCTGCAAAAAAAGACGTGTAATTATTAAATATCTTCTTTTTGCTTAATGCTCGTGTTTTCTTCGTTGTTTTATCACGACATACAGTCGTTTATCACATAATTATATAGCAATGCTTCCAAATATTATGCACACAGTTATTCAAAATTTTTGCAAAAACAATCGCCATACACCGAACGTCACTTAACCTCAAAACGCATATAAACAGTGTTTCTTGCGTTTCACAAAATCATGCTATCTAAATTGATTTATATCACCGATTACACTTTTTGCCACATGAAATTATACTCACTTTCCGTCTCATTGTCCGAATCACTTCCAACATCTACCAATTTTCGTTTTCCTAACTTTATACTTTGTTTACCAGACGCCATTTTTGTCAGACTTCAGACTTCGGACTTCGGCTGCGTTCCGAAATGCACTGCCAGTACTGAAAATCTATAGTTCATGTTACGTATATTATAAAATTTCAGTACTGGCAGTGAATTTCGGAACGCAGTCTTCAATTATTGGCTGAGCGCCGAGTCAGCGCCTCATTGTGATTGGTCCATTGAGAGTCGGCAGTCGTAATCGGCAGTCGGGTCGGCCTGTGCAGTCGGTAGTCTGATACTGGCTTTAGGAACACTTAAGGATGTATCTGAGCTATAAAAATAATACCAATTCGATAAAACTTTGAGTAATTTTTCTTTAATTATTTATAATATATTGAAAAAAATTCACTAAACCGTTGAAGAGTTATTATTATGTTAATTTTACACGTGTTCTTATGGCAAAAGCAACTTTTCTGAATATAATGAGTAAAAATGTATAGAAAAAATAGTACTAAAAATTTAAGTATTTTTACACATATAAATCCTGAATTATCGGAACTATTTGCAGAATTTGATTAGTTTTCACAACACGGTTTCAGAGAAATTAATTTTTATTTGTGACAATTTTGCGATTGTCATAATGAGTTAGTAACTGGACTATGGAAATGCGGCAACGTTGCAAGCAGCTGGTATGTCAAACGAATAACCTATAAATCAATACAATAAAGTTACATCGTAAATTCTTGTTTTGTCTGCATTGTTCCATACAGAGGACAAGAATACAAATTAAATAATTTCGATAATCAATAGGATAAGTGTGAAATTTGAGGCTTTTATTGTTTAATCTAACCTGCCTGCATAGTGCATTACTACCAACGTACAAGCCACAAACTACATAGTACGCTGTTGTTAGGTTTAACTTTTTTCATTAAATATTTATAATAACAACAAATAATATTGATAGTTATTGTTAAGACCATGCATACCTGTTTTAACTTATCCCAATTATTTTTTCTCTGTTGCACTGATGGATATTGATGTTAAATAAATTTAACGAAATTTAATGTTCTAAAGTTGAATTCAGGGCATTTTCCCTGCCAAAAGTTTTATTATAGAAAGTTGAAAAAAAGCAAATAAAAGTAATAAACTATTGAGAAAGTAAAAAATAACTTTTTAAATAAGAAATTATGTTAGCCACTATTTATATCACTTATCACTAGGTTTACAACACGTTTGAAGCAGATATTCAAATTTTTCGTTTTTCAAGCACTTTTGTCACCGATTGTATCTCAGATACATCCTTAAAGAATTCATCGTGCTATCTGGGATTAAAGTATTCCCAGATAACATGTATGTCTAAAATATGTCGAAAAGATATCTAAAAGACGTCTTATGCAACAAAACGTTGCATAAAACGTCTTAGATATTTTTTCGATATTTTTTAGACATGCATGTTATCTGGGCTGGTACGCATCAAATTTAATACACGACTAAAGCCCATTCTACATTGCGTAAACGTGGTTGTAAGTGGTTGTATGTGATTACGACAACCAATCAGAATAAAGCAATCAGTAAATAAAACATTCGGATTGGTTGACTCTTACGATCACGACTACGCTTACGCAATTGTAGAATGGGCTTAACGTTTTAACGATGTAAACCAGGCCAGTGACTATTATGAAGAACTGAAATCGTTAGTATGACTTAACGACAAGTCAGACGTATCTTTTAATTTCAAGATTTACGAATCATTAACAAATTGAACTTTTTTACTTTCAGTTAGTATGTTTCAACGGCATATTAGCCACACACAAATTCAAGAATCATCTTCCTTGCTGCGGAATGCAGCTGATAGAAATAGATATATGACCAGTTGATTCCGAGCAACTTTCTTGAAAATCCGCTTAATCTAATCTAATCGATCTAATCTTAACTAGCATAAAACTAGAATTATTTACTCGTTTTAACAAATCATCTTTTATTTTTCATTATCAACTCTCCGATTTAATTAATTATCGATTAACCTGATCAGAATTTGGAAAAAGTCATTCTCACATGCATGCTGATTCGTTGGCATTACAATCGCTTTGATGTTTAAAGGGACGTCTACATTGGAAGTAAATAGCAAGTAGGAAGTAAGAGTAAGAAATTGACCAACCACAGTCGAATGTGAGAAGAATAATCAACTATGATTGGTCAATTTCTTATTCTTACTTCCTACTTCTTACTGCTTACTTCCAATGTAGACGTCCCTTTAAGAAACTCTGCTTCGCATCAGATGTTTCCTTCCTTCAATATTTGGCTAGAGGCGCATCCGTGACTCATGCCCCAACGCCATTACTCATGCATCAGATGTTTGGTCTGTTCTTTTCAGCTGCACTGCTGACTTGGTGCAATAAGTTAAAGTAAGATAAATATATGTTTTCTCACTCTAACTTATTGCACCAGTTTAACAGTGCAGCTGAAAAGAACAGACCAGTTGTCGTCAGCTGCGCATGTGCGCATGTGCGACATATGTTTGGTAACGCCGCGATAAGCAGGCGGGAAAAGCAATGTGACTCACTTGTAGATCATTTGGCGGTTAAAGACGAGGTGTCCCGTAGTAATTGATCGTGACTTAGTACAATTTACAAGTACCTTTAGGTACGAGTAGGTATATAAAAGGAACATGTCACAGCCCTCTGTAACGGCATACTTCAATACACGGAAGCGCCAAGCTTCCGATGATTTGCGGGATAAGTCCAAAGTTTTGTTGCTCGAGCAAGATCAATCGAGCGGTCAAACGTGTGATACCGAGAAGTATTCTAAGCAAAATGTGTCCGACGAGAGCAAAATGGTGAGCCCAAAAGTCATCTTTAGGGACGTGGCAGCTGCGGCGAAAGATTCTCCGCGCATCAAGAAAGTGGTTCGTAGCATTCACTTCGATTCACCGAAAGCGAATACGGAGAAGTCGATCAAGACACCCAAGGCGCGAATACTGCGCTCACGCAGATTGCTCTCGGCGGATGGACATCAGGTGGACATCCGGGAGAGTTTGCAGAAGATGGGGACCACCGACGTAGAAGTTAGGAAAGTGTCTTTCGAGAAGAAGGGTATGTAAGAGTTAGAGAGAAAAGTATATCGGAAACCGGAGTTTGCTGGGCCGGGACTCGAATCCGGGTCTTTCGCTTGCTGGATGACTGCTCTAAATCACTGAGCTACTCAGACTCCCGCTCCAACATATTCTCTCTTGTCTTTTTGTATGATTGTTAATATGCCTATGTTCTTCAGTTCACTTTATATCTTACAGGTAGTCTCAGTCCAAAGAAGAGTTCTTCTGACGATGCTCCAAAGCATGACACGATCAAGGAGGAGGAAGAGAAAAAGGAGGATGAACCACCCATTCAGGGCTTAGAAACTCCATCCAAGAAGATCTTGACAATGGAGAGACTGAATACTGAAAACTTGAGTTTGAACGACATCAAGAACAGAATTAAAAAGTCTTCTAGACTGTCGGAATTGGAAGCTATCATGGCAAAAATCAATAATTTAGATCAATTAAAGAAAACACAAAAACAAGCTGATCTCAATAAGCCTCAAATGCAAAAGTTTGAGAAGATAGAACTTGAGATTCCAGTGAGGTAAGTCCTTGTGACTATGTTGTTAATTTATGATTGAGTTTTTGATGAGTTGGAATTTGTAATATTCTTTTCTCATTTGACAGCCCACAGAAAATAGCCAGATCTCCAGCCAAGGCCTTATTGACTCCAACTAAGAATAGGGATATCTTGGAAGCAGTGAGTCCTCAGAAGAGAATTTTATTTGAGCCTAAGAATACACCAAGTTCTATGAAATGCAGTCCCACTAAGAAACCAGCTTATCAGAAACATCTGGCAGTTGCTGAAAGCAAGACATCGCTGATATTGCCTTCCAACTATAAATTCTTAGCAGAAATCTTCAGATGCGTAGAAACGGTAATATCTTGATTTTACAAAGTCTTCACATTGTAATATCTTATTAAAATTTTATGCACATTCATATGATATATATATATTGTTCATGTTTGCTTTATGAGATATGACGTTTATTCCTATTTTCAGGTGTCGGCAATGCTGTTTAACAGAAACGAATTAATAACATTTAATAAATTAAAACCCGCGGTTCAAGAGTTGCTGCGACATAATTTCACGCAGAATCATCTGGCCCAGATAAAGACTATTTATCCTAATGCCTACACCTACCAGCAAAAGAAGCATCGTAATTTCGGCTCAGTATCCAAAAATGAGAAATACGAGTTGGTCCTGACACCCACGATTGATGCAAGTGATGGCAAAAATACCTTTGATGAAGATAATGCATTGAAATCTGTGTCCAACAACAGCATGGGACCTGCAATATTGCTAGAGAGAAGACGGAAATTTTACAACACTTTGCTAGGTATTATCTAGAAAAGATTGTCGTATGCAAATCTCTTTGAATCTACCATAACTCTATGCATCTGAAAATTATTTTCAATATCTTTATTACAGAGAGAGTGAAAGATGAGCACAAGAAATTTTTATTAAGCTTGGAGACTCCAATAATTATAGAAAAGGAGAAGATAATGCGCTGGCATCCTGAGTTTAATATAGAAGCTTGTAAAGAGATTGAAAAAGCCGAGTTACCACAACCACCTCAAGCTGAAAAGGCAACTGCAAAAGATGTTCTTGGTAAGAATGACAAATTTTGCAAGTAGAAGTATTGTTTAGCAAAAATTAATTTACTCATGTTTTTGTGTGTCACATAATGTATAGTGCTAAAAGCATAGTTTAAGATATCGGAATAACATCAGGAATTTGAAGTATCTGTGTAAAATTCTACACAAATGCGCATATCGTGCGAATACTCGATATGTAGTACAATGTTGTAACACGGTCCCTATTTCGAAAACGTTAAGTGGGACAAAATATTGCACAAGAGACCAATGCGTTCAAATATTTGCGAAATTCATTTTTTCATTCAACTTTGATGTCGCAAGATTTTATTGATTGATCAGCATATAACACAGTAATCGGTATAAAAGCACCACTTATGTGTAATAATTCAGCAGTTACATACAGCATGCATTCATCTTACTCAACCTGTTCTTCAATTAATAAGTTAATTTTAGAGAATGGATTCAAAATTTCTATTAGGAAAGATCAACTTGTTAGTAGAATATGTAAGCGTTCATTTGTAATTATCGTTTGGCGTGAAATGTTCATAAAATGTCGATACTGGTGAATTCTATTATGCTGATCACTCTTTTCATCATATCATTATTTCCTTCTTTTTTCCAGACAAAGTTAAATCTTTGTTCAACACTGGCTCTCGTATGGAGAAAGCTTTGCAAAAACTGGCTGAGGCGAATATGACATCAAAATCGACTCCTTCGTCTTCACAGGATTCTGCGATCCAAACCACGGAAAGTAATATTGCGAAAGTTAATATCGTCGACACCTCACCAACCACACCAAATGTACAAGACACCTACCTCACGAAAGCATTCAAGGGTATCCCCAAAGCTCTACTCGAGAAAGTAAGTAAATTACCCGAATGTGTATCTCTAGAAGCAACACTTAATGTTTGTCGTAACGTATATCTTTCATCGTGCATTTCTTCATGACTCGTGATACTTCAGGTTCGCGCGAGACAGGCTGCTAAGGCGTTAGAGGAGATGACGAGAACACCGAACGCAGACAAGGAGGCTACTCTATACTCGAGACTCCCGGATTTAGCAAAAGTACTTCGCAATATTTACGTGACGGAAAAAAAGGGTGTCCTACAGATGGAAACGGTGATACAACGATTGGATAATTCCTTCAGGACAAAGTTAACGCCGAATGAAATGGACGAGCATGTACGGCTGCTATGTAAGCTATTACCCACTTGGACTAGTATACATAATGTACGAAAGATCGATTATTTAAAATTAGATAGGAACGCCGATATTACAAAAGTAATCAGGCGATTAGAAATTTTTGCCAATGACAAAGTTAAATAATATCTATATTTTTATCTAATATATTAAGTATGATAATATATAATATATTAAGTATGATATATATAATAATGGCATTTGATTTGTATCCTGGAGCCTTTTTAATGTTCTTGTTTTAATTATCGTTACTTGAAACTTGTCTCAAATGAGATACTCAAATTTGAATTTAGAGTTAGATATGAACATTTTACAAATATATATATGCCACGTACATATATCACACATCATATAAACCAACTAAAAAAATTTTAATCTAACTTCAAATCTTTCGATTTGAATATCTCATGTGAAATAAGTTTCAAGATTAACGATTGTTAATCTTGAAACTTATGTTATCTATGTATATCTTGAAACTTGTTAATACAGGCCTAAGATTACATTCTGCGTATATAATCTCTACGTATAAATGTAAACATTGTTTAATTTTGTACGCTTTTTTGTATTTGGATTATATATACTCTATAATTTACAAAGGTAATAGGATAATTGATTTTATACACATTTATAGTTAAGATGTTATTGCCTTTACTTCAATTGAATTCTCTGAGATGCGAAGTTAATTCACAAAAGCACGAGATAGATCTGGTCTCTCTTTGTTTCGCGTTTATCTTCGAAGTTTTATCATTTATTATTAACATCGATTTGTAGATTTATACAGTAAAATGCACATTATAAAATTGCATGATTTATATTAATGAGGCTACTTTTTGAGGTATGTAGTTATGTAGTATCTCTGAAATATTCAACATGCAGTTTTCTATGTTTATCAATCTAAGTTACTGCTAATGTATGCATTGCATGTATTATCATGTTTGTACAATTAAAAAATGTTATAATTACACGAATTAATAAAAAATATAAAAAATAACTTACAATATAAATATAGATTTAAGTTAAAATATAATTTTAGTTATATAAGATATAAGAAGTATGACTGGCTGTTAAGTTGTACTACTTGAACAATAATAGTGTAGCACTCAGAATATGTTGAGTGGCAAGACTTATCCAATAGGACAATGAACATTAAAAAAGCTTCAAGATACAAATCAAATGCAATTGTATATATTTTGTCATATTTAATATCATATATAAATAGTTATATTAGTGTTTAATAAAATGTGTTAATCATATAAAAAATTATATATAACCTTAATAATAATCAACTTTGTCAATTAATATTTCGCTTAATAGAGAGCGACAATTTCTCCAAACAGAAAAGTTGTTTGCCTTTAAAAAACGCGTCGAGCATTTTTTCGTCAAAATTGGAAGGAGTGTAAACTGTATAATTACCACTTAATCTATTTTACAAGAATGACATTGCTATCATTTTTTTCTTTTTATTTGTCAAGTTCGTCTCTGACTACTACTTTTTTCCAAACATTAGTTTTATGTATAGAAATACATAAATTTATAGTGTTTCTCCTTCCTATATTACCTTAGAACATCTTGTGTATACTTAAAAAAAAGTGACAAGGAAGAATAATATCTCTATTTATACAATAATAAACTAATAACAGTAAAATTGTAAGTAGGAAAAATTTAACGCACATATCTTGCCACGACAGAAAAGTTAAACATGAGTGATTTTGGAGAAGGTTAAATAATTAGATAATTAAAATTTATCAAACAGAAACGTTATTACAACGTCGTAAACACACATTCCTCATGTACTTGAAGATGATAAATATACTAACGCCTTAGAACGGCTTACTTTTTGGCGGCAGAATCTGTTAAGACCCTTGCACAATGCCAGAAATAGAAATAAACATTAGCCAATAGGAACAGGGAATAAAAATAATTGACCAATCCGAATTCCTATTGCCTGTTGTCTGTAAGCGCCTTTACTTTCATTTTGCTGGTCGTCTTTCTTTTCTTCCTCATTTGCTGGTCCTAAATGACTTAAGCAGAGATACTTGCGCTTTGTGTATATGTACATTAGGGCTGCTATATTCAAACGGATTTGACACTATCCGGGTACCCGGGTATTCAAGTAACGGATAAATATGACACTTCAAAACCAGAAAAATGGGAAAAAGTAGTGGCTAGCGATAGATAATATTTTGAATGATCAATTTGTAACCATTTTTTCACAATAAAATATTTTTACCAAAAAATCCCTTAAAATTAATGCACATTCCCAATATATCACAGTAAATGCTCATTTTTTAAATGACAAATGGAAAGGAAAGTCTTATAATTTAATTACGACAACGATAGACGAAGCACATACAAATTTAGTTAATAAAATTAACTCGATTTTAAGTGAGAGGGAATTGACGGACAAAGCAATGGCGGTTGTCACCAATAATGCAGCAAATATGCTTGGAGCTCTTAAAAATATTAATGCTGAAACAAAATCAGGAATATCCTGTGCAGCTAATACTCTACAACTCAGCATAAAAGAAAATTTAAATAAGCCCAAAATACATCAGATTTTGTTTACTATTAGGAAAATCGTATCTCTGTTCCATCATTCGTATAAAGCAAGCAATACATTTAAAGAGCAACAAAAAGCACTTGAATTATCAGTTTTAAAACTAATTCAAAGTTGCCCTACGCGATGGAATTCAATATACTTTATGCTTGATCGTTTGCTTCAAAACAGGGTTTCCGTTGAAAACGTTTTACCCTTATAGAAAGATCATACTAAGAATCATTGATAATTACTTATTATCCAGTATTTTTAATACTGAAAATAAGTAATTACCAATGATGATTCTTAGTATGATATTTTTATAAAGGTAGCTAATAGAAATATTGTTTCTCGCTCTACTGCTGAGCAACTCGAAATAAAAGAACGTGAATGAACACTCATAAGCTAATTGTTGTTTTAAAACCTCTTCAAATAGCTACTACTGTTCTTTGCAGTAATTCTTATACACCTATTTCGATAGTAAATCAACAACGCGTCTAACCAGCGACCTTTTGATAATGATCCATTGTTATCGATGCAGGATACTCATTGGGTGCTTTCCAATTGCTTAACACATCTTGACAGACACGTATACAAAACCAGTTTATTGGTCACATATTATTTAAAATATCTTGTAAGGTAATGTGCAACCAATAAACTGCTTAGCCGACTCGGCGCCTCACTGTGATTGGTCCATTGAGAGTCGGCAATCATAGTCTGCAGTCGGTAATCTGATACGGGCTTTACGGTTAACCCAGAGCCAGTTGAACATGGGTGATTTCCAATTGCTTAACACATCTTGACACATGTACACAGAAATGCACAAAGTGTAACGTTGTGCACGATTCAATTGGAACAAAGTGTGTACTAATGTGTGTAGGATTATTTTTCAACTATGCTTATATTTTGGTATTTTTTAATAATAAATAATAAAATCTAATAGCATGTTCGACTGGCTCTGGGTTAACCCACTCTGGGTTATACAGCTTACGTTTATTGATCGAACAAGTACTTATAAGCTTTATGATTGGCTAGTAGAGACTTATAACGTCATTAATCGCTCTCGGAGCGATTAACCCAGGGTCAGTCGAACACGCTATAAATAATAAAAAAGAAATTGTCTACTTTCGATGGACGGGAAACGCGTGGTGGACGGTAGACGCGTCTGTGCTTTTTGAGCAAAATCGATACCTTTTCTAGTTGCCGAAAGAGAGCAAAAAATACTGGCGGTATATAAGCACTTGACTGCGACGTCGTGCTCAGGCTTTTACATGCCGTTAGCATTTATTGCTTAATTTCGGCAACTACAAAAGATATTGATTTCGTTCAAAAAGCACTGTCTTCTCCATACTTTACTTTATTGGAATTAGTTGTTTATAATATTACGATTAATACCACTGCTTTAGGTAAAGTATAGAAATGCGCGAATGTTTCGATGTTGCGATCAAGCTCTTACATGCCGCTAACATTTATTCCTTATTTCTCGGCAACCACGAAAGATATTGATGTTATTTAAAGAGCACTAGTTTTTCCACAGTTTATGCTACTGGAATTAATGTTTTATAATAATGCGATTAATACCGTTGCGTTATGTAGAGTATGGAAGTGGGCGTGCTTTTCGCGGTCAGGTTCTCGCATATACACATACATATGATATTTCGTACGTATATACACGTAAATAAATTTATGACAGTGCGTAAAGAGAAAAGATCATGTGCATGTTGAATGGAATATAAGTTCGTACGCAATAGTCCATGTTCTTAACCACGCAATTATGCGCTTAGCACGGACACGAATCGCCAGGAAATGGGCGTAGAATAGACACGCACCGAATCGCTGCATTACCGGCATCGTCTGAAAATGCGCGTAGGGAACGTAGTTCCACCTGAAAAATGAGTGCAGATGGCGCATCGCACCAGCGTGAAAATCGGTGTCGCCCAAAACATATGGCGTGGCCGTTTTCAGACTTCTCTCTGAGTATACGTAACATAAACTGTAGATAAATGCGCGCATATATGTGAAACGGAACGCGGCCTTATGGAAGATTCACATCGCGTCCGACGTACGACGTTCGATATCCAATAGGAAAACAGCTTTTCAATGGAGAATTGAATTCTCTATTAGAAAGCTGTTCTCTTATTGGATATCGGATGTCGTGCGTCGGAAGTCGGACGCAATGTGAATCCTGCTTAACGGCTTACGTGCTCGAGTTGTGTCCCTCTTTGTTCCGTCGTTGCAAGTTGTGGTCCATCTTTCAAGTCCGTGAAGCAATTCGAGCAACATGGGTATGTTAGAATCTCATTCAATTGTTACATTTTTCAAGCAATTTTAATGAAAACATGTATCATTTTCGGGAAAACTTTCCCGACATATCTTAATCAATATTTACTGGTACAGATATACGTAAAGAACCTTGTATTCAGTTCCATTGTAGCATGTCCGAGGTTACCGCATGTAACCAGTGTCGAGCATATTAATGTTAAATGTATTCCTCAAAGCCACATATTTATTTTTTATTCTTTAATATGAAATTCTTTTACCTATAGTAAAGTCATATTTGACCTAGAAAGATATTTAACGTACTCGACGAAAGTGTTCATACATAACCTAATTTTCTAAATCTTAAGGCAAACCGAGAGGTCTTCGTACGGCGCGTAAACACGTAAATCACAGACGTGATCAACGCTGGAATGATAAGGATTACAAAAAGGCACACTTAGGTACCAGATGGAAGGCCAACCCATTTGGTGGTGCCTCTCATGCAAAAGGCATTGTCCTGGAAAAAGTGTACGTGATAATACAATCATATAGCGATTTATAGAAATTCCTAAGTCTTAGTTCTGTTTTATTTGATTGCAATTCTCAATCCATAGTTTGATACAAGCATAAAAGATTGTGATTTTTGAAGTAAGTTTGTAAACTCACTCAACTTGTCCATTGGCAGCATTCTTCTGCTGATTAGAGTTAAAGTCATATCAATTTATTATTTTTATATATTTATGTCTTTCATTTTACTCTTACAGTGGAGTGGAAGCTAAGCAACCCAACTCTGCTATCCGTAAGTGCGTTAGAGTGCAACTGATAAAGAATGGCAAGAAGATCACTGCCTTCGTACCAAGAGATGGTTGTTTGAACAATATTGAAGAAAACGACGAAGTTTTGGTAGCGGGTTTCGGCCGTAAAGGTCACGCCGTTGGTGATATTCCCGGAGTCCGATTTAAGGTGGTAAAGGTCGCAAATGTATCTTTACTTGCATTATATAAAGAAAAGAAGGAAAGACCGAGATCATAAGGCATCGATTCTCAACTATGTATATATAATTACAAATATACATAAAAGTTTTACACAATATGTGTAATTGTGTTTTAATTTAAAAAAAAGGTATTAATAATATTAAAGATATTAATAATCCTTGAGTCTTGCATATTGTGTTATCTATTGTGGATTTCAACAAGTAATGCCAAGTAAAAACTAATTCTATTTTGTTATTGTATACAATTAAAACAACTTAAAACTAATAAGTTTTGCGGAAAAAGTCAATATTGTAGTTCTGTAGGTGTAAAGTTTTCAAATATATAGTCTCTCTCCTCTTAATATACTTACAAAAAGTATAAGGCACAAAGCATATTGCAGAAGAAAAAAGTTACAAACTTTACTGAATCATACAAGAATTATCTTAAGAGGATGCTGTAGAAGAAAAGATTACAAACTTTACTGAATCATACAAAGATTATCTTAAGAGGATGCAAGACACAAATATTTTACGTGTGTGTGCATGTGTATATTTCAAGTTACATATCTGAAAACGATCAACAACATACTGGCTTTTTTCTACAAAGATTATGCTGTGTATTGACTGCCCAGAATTATAAATTCCTTTATACAATGTAAATAAGTGTGAAAATATGTTCGAAGATTGTCTAATATACAGGATGTTCCCGAAAGGTAGTACCAAATTTTAGGGATATGTAGTACTCATTAAAACAAACCAAAAATTCTTAATGAACAGTACTCCAAAAATCTTTTATTTCTGAGTTATGAAGCATTTTGTTCTGTGAAAAATAGAAAATAAATTAAATCTACAATAAATGTTCAATGTGCCTTTGGTTCATGTCAATACACATTTCGGCATGTTTCGTCATTGAAGGTCAAAGAGTCCAGGTTTATTTCGTATTTGTTGACAACAGTTTCCAAGTCTCTTAGTTCACTCACGGACACCTATATGTAACCACCTAATTACACAGGGATTCAACTTTGGATTGTGGACTGTGTCTAGTTATCTGAAAAATTGTTAATTTTTACACAAATTCTGAAATGACGGATATTCATTTTGGCAGAGCAAAGGGCAATGCTTCAAAAGCAGCACGCTTGTATCATGCAGCTTATCCGGGGGCTTATGCAGCTTATTCAGTGAGGAAACGTGCCGAACTGTGTGTTGAAATGGACGGAGGGCATATTGAACATTTATTGTAAATTTTAGTTATTTTCTATTTTTCACAGAACAAAATGCTTCATAACTCATAAAAGGTTTTCGGAGTACTGTTCATTAAGAGTTTTTGGTTTGTTTTAACGAGTACTACATACCCCTAAAATTTAGTATCACCTTTTGAAAACACCCTGTATATCAATATGTCTTTTTATTGTTTCGTTGTGTATTGTCACAGTAGTATGACTAAAAAACCGATCAGACGTGCTTTCTCTTACATTGGAACACAGGTTAAGTTTATCAGTGTGTAACTTCGGCAAAACTAACGAAGTGGTTCAAGGAGCATTTTAAAGATTAAAGTCTCTATACTATTCAAAAATATTAAATGAATAACGTTATTTTTGTTTGTCACAGAAATATATTGAGTTAAATAAAAAATTGTTAAAATTTTAACCTTATATCTTCCAGTATATATAAAAAGTATGATAAATATATTTTAAAAAAGGAACTCTCTATCAGCTTTTCATTTATTCCTTAACAAATGTCGTACACCTATTCTTTTGGCTACTATGAGTAGTCAAATCCAAAATGCCATTTTTGCTTCAACACTAAATAATTCGGCGAGAGATAATTATACTTCAATTTGCGAGTACACGCGAATTAAAGAGAAAAGCTTACATTTTTAAATAATGTAAATCCTATTTATCTGCAATTTTTACATTATGTAATGTAACTCGACAAACCTCATAAAAATGTGAGCACTTGGATCATGATTTATTTTCGTAACATACTATTGTAGAAAACATTGAAACTTTGTCCAGAAACATATCTATAAAATAAAATGTCCAAGCTATAAAATACTTTCTAAACCATCTCGTTACTATTACCTTTAAGGAAGTTATGTTGAACTTCGTAATAGTACGTTTTAACAACGCGTCAAAGCGAGTAATATCTTCAAGTCATACTTTAAACATGTTACATATTTGCTAGAAGGATGCCTCTCGAAAAATCAATTTACTAAACAAACATGTGCTGGTTAAACACACAGGGGATTATCAACAACTTATCTAATGCAGGAACGTATACATAAACGCCGCCGGCAAGTGAACCATTTCTCGCGAGTCATGGAGACAGTACGCTTTTAAGAGAGAAAAGACGAAATAGTAAGAACCTCGATCTCCATATCTATCTATTTTCCAGCATACAGATCGCCAAAAGTGCATATTAATTACGTAACATTATTGTAAAACGTGTTACGTAACGGGCTAGCTGACAAATCAGCGAAAAGTCGACGTTGCGTTGCCGTAAACGAATTATTTTCCACACACTTCTCTCTCCCTCTCTTCCCCTCTGTCAATGTTCGTCGCAATATGAGTATATTAGCAAAATCATTATTCATCTCTAAGCGACAAGAGAGGAAGAGAAAGACTGAAGTGGAAAGAACCAGCCTGCCGTGACGTAAAAGCCGGACCTGGCAGACTGCAAAGCTCGGACTGGGCAGACCCGTCCGTCTCGCTCGTTAAGGAGTTTATTCATCAGGTATGTATTTTCAGGGCGCCCAAGGAGCATACTTTCAGTGACGTATCAAGGGGATTATTCACAAATTCGCTACTTGTCGAGCAAAATTATGTTTTTATCTAATATCACTATCGAAATAAATGTTAATTTGAAACTAATTTCATGACACCAACTTTTACCACGTTTCACTCAGTATAATGCCGCTCGAAACATAAAACAGCAGTTCCTGGCCTATAATCGACCGGTCGCACAAAAACGGTGTAGTGAATACTATTCCTTCTTTTATTTCCCAGTGTTTCTTGTAACACGTGACATTTATAACGATAGGTTTTTTTATTTAGATAATGTCACACTTTTTACGAAGTTATGGCATAGTGGTGATCTATATTGCTGCTGCCATAAGGTTTTGCAAATGCAAAATTGCGATATTCAATACGAAATTTTTCATGAAGGAAGCAAGACAAATCGCGCGAGACTTTAACTACGAAATACGTGTTTCACTGCGATAGATTTTACGCAAAATTTCTGTATAATTTCCAGCATTTCGGCTCGAGTGAATAAAGTCCTGAAATTGGTTACACGCGCCAACGTGTAAGCATCGAGTAACGAGCTCCGCCACACGAGCGACCGGTTGGTAGTGGCGTTCGGCTATCGTCACCCGTGTGATCCCTGCTGCGTCGTCGAACGTCCGCTATCCATCCTTCGGCTACGTCCGGTACGCCGCCTAATCGGAGCGCAGTGCAGCGCAGCGCAGGTGCAGCGAGGAGAGGGTGCGTCGAGTTCGAGAACCAGTCAGTCAGTCAGTCAGTCAGCTAGCCAGCCAGCCAGCCAGCAAGCCAGCCAGCCGGTGGTCCAACCAACGATGGTCGTGAAAATCTACATATCGGGTATCAGCGGCAACAAGGAAGTGAGTGAGAGCGGCGACTTTCCGCCTGTGATAAGCCGGATACTCCGGTATCGCGCGATACTCGACGAAACGAGACACGTACGGCACACTGGCTGAACTCTGACATTCCCCGTGTCTGCAGCGGCTAGTAGCGGTCGCGGTCGCCGTCGTCATCGTCGTCGACGACGATGACGACGTCGGTGCTATATCAGGTTACAACGCGAAAACTATTTGTATCGGACACGCTCTCGCGCGGTTCCGGACTAACTAATGATCGGTACTGTCACTTGGGAAGAACGAATGGTCGGCCGATCAGACGTGCACCCGCTGCTGGGCTCGTCTGATCGGAACCGTCGGTCGTTTTCCTTGCGCCCACGGGCTTACACGGTGGTGCCGTGTCGAGATTTATTAGCAGCCGTGGGCCTCCGTCGCGGTCTGTTTATTTGGGTAGATTCGGAACAAGTATTCTTGATATCAACAAATTTGTCATGTGTCTCAGCACAATGTAGCTAGTAGCAGAATGAGCTTTCCTCTATGATTATGAGTCTCTTGAATTGGACTGAAGCTCTTGAATACACTGGAGATACTTGTTGAAGATGCTGTTACTGGCGTATCATCACTTTGACAGTTGTTATCATTGATGACAAATTCATATTTCTTTAGAGAACTTGACAATGTTATAAATCTTATTATCTTATGCAGATTATTACTATTGCAAAGGTCTTATTGCAGAAAATTATAGATAGCTGAATGTAGTCAGCTGGGTGAGTCCAATATAAATGTGAGAGACTGTTTTCTCCCAGAAACTGTGTGTAGCTGTGAGTCGAATAGAAATGAAGCTATTGTGACAAGAGAAGAAATCTAGTGTGTGCCATGACTTGATGATTAATATCAATTTCTATTTTAATTCTTATTTTCTCCAGCACCTAGTTTTCACTCTTAATCACTTGTAAATGTGTTACAGGTGAAGAAAAGGCAACAGCGCGTGCTGATGATTCTAGATAGTAAAAATGTGGAATATGAGATCATCGATATAACGGAACCAGGCAAGGAATTGGAGAAAGAGTTTATGCAAACCAATAGCAACGCGAGAACCAACAAGTATCCATTACCACCACAAATATTCAACGAGGATAATTATTGTGGAGTAATTGTCTTTTTTTATGCTAAATTTGAATTTTATGCTTCTGCTGCATTGTTGTGTTGATTTCAAAAATATATTGCACATGTCTGTAGTGAGCAATGAACAAATAATTAAACGATACTACGTCTCTAACATACAATACACACCAACTAAATTTTGCAGGATTACGAGGACTTTGATTTAGCGAACGAAATAGACGAGTTGGAAAAGTTTCTAAAAGTGACAACGGCAGTCAGCACCGCGGAGATCACTCTCGACTCCAAATCTCAGAGTGATGGAATCCAAGAGAACGGAAATACTTCCAGTCGGGAGGTAATGTTGTCTTTTTGTTTGACCGCGGTGCTATAAATCGAAGAAACTTCGTCAACAAGCTTTTAGAGCATGCACACGTACTATTTCTTTGACAGAAAGTATTCGGAAACGCCAGAACAGAAATAGCAATAACTATAGTCGCGTTTATTGTATGGCGCTTACAGCGTATAACAAAGCGCATTTTTATACGTACTATTTATAAATCTTTTGAATGCGCAGTCGGGCTGTACGATGATTTTACTGATGAGCAAATTAACAGCTATTTTTGCCGTTCTGTAGTAACAAAAGGTGTTCTGTTAGCAATGTATATAAAATCATTGAGTTTTCTTCATGTACACACACTTGTACTATACTTTATGATGACCTTGTTACTAAATTTATATTATAGTTGCTACATATCTAACATCTGCAATTTATCTTTTTCAGCCTTCCACGGACAAAGAAGCAACTGTTGTACCCTCCGACAGGTAACTGATATTACAATCAACAAATACACAAATGTATTAAAAAAAATATATATATACAGGGTGTCCCAGATCACCTTCACAATCTCTTGTGAGGACGTAAAACGGATTGAAATGAACACACAAGTCCAACACCATTTTGCGATAAATCTCAAAATATTGATTAAAAAAGATTGGTGAATGATTATGCGCGATATGGTATATGAGCTGCAATTGCGCCGTCTGCCGTTGTATACTTGTACATGAAGTCAAACTGAATAAAAAAGCCCTCATTTTGCAAATAACAATATAGATTTTTAGATATTAATTAAAGAAAATTTGTGCATTATGGTACATAATCATGTAACAATTTTCTTTGATTAATATCTAAAAATATATATTGTCATTTGCAAAATGGTAGAGGACTTTTCTGTTCAGTTACTTGTACTTTGTACAGTTCACTTAATGTACAAGTATACAACGATAGACGGCGCAATTGCAGCGCATCTACCATATCACACATTATCATTCACCAATCTTTTTTAATTAATATCTCGACTATTATTGCGAATATCGCAAAATGGTATAGGACTTTTGTGTTCATCTCAATCCGCTTTCCGTCCTCACGAGAGATTGTGAAGGTGATCTGGGACACCCTGTATATATGTGTGTGTATGCGTGTACACACACCACACACATATATATAACACACATACACACACATATATACATGGTGTCCCAGATCACCTTCACAATCTCTCGTGAGGACGGAAAGCGGATTGAGATAAACACAAAAGTCCTATACCATTTTGCGATATTCGCAATAATAGTCGAGATATTAATTAAAAAAGATTGGTGAATGATAATGTGTGATATGGTAGATGCGCTGCAATTGCGCCGTCTATCGTTGTATACTTGTACATTAAGTCAACTGTACAAAGTACAAGTAACTGAACAAAAAAGTCCTCTACCATTTTGCATATATATATATATATATATATATATGTGTGTGTGTGTGTGTGTGTGTGTGTGTGTGTGTGTGTGTGTGTGTGTGTCATAGATTTCTAAAACATTGATCTGTTAAACGCAACGACATAAAGTGACTATCTGCTCTAGTTTACCAGAAAGGACAACCCTAGAAAGCGAGAATAAAGCATTAGACGAGTCTAAGCCAACTGAAGTAGATAGCGCCGCAAAAACTATCACTAGCGAAGAAGCTGAACACGCTGAGGATAGTGGCGATAAAAATGAAGAGAAATCCGACGACCAAGAGAAAGAGGAATAGACACAAGAGATACACCCATGCGAAACTGGGGATATTCCACACAATGACATCCTTCCTTTTCCACCCACAAGCGTATTTTGCAAAGCTACGTTTATTACATTACTAAGGCTGAGTGAAGGTACTGCCAAGATAATATTCTGTATTGCGGAAAGTCTATTGAGTGAACAGTTTAAGGTGACGCATAGAACATACTTTTATAGAATATACTTTGTATTTTAGATGAAACGCGTCTTCACCAATGTTTCTCGACAGGTCTGATTAGATGATACGAGCGATAATCCCTTTGTATCGCTATCTTCACATGTGTCCTCCACGTTTGTTTATTATTTTACATTGTTTTGCACCGCACGATATCCCATACATTACTGCACTCCCGCGATGACAAGATTCAAGTATATATACATATTTTTCTTTTATAACGCAATTTTTTGGTTATTGTTGCCGCGTGCAAAGCGTACAAGTAAAAAAAAAATATATATATATATATATATACAGAATATAACGACACACGTACATACAATATCATTTGAGACATGATCGAGAACAGATACATATATATATATATATATATATATATATATATATATATATATATATATATATATATATATATATT